TCAGGTAATCTATATTTCTTTTATGTTTTAAAGTACAGGTGTTTATACAACTTGGAAACAGTAGGCATCCTTCTAGGGATGCAGTCTTAGAGTTCAATGACACCTGCTTTGCACGCAGAAAGTTCCAGGTTCATGCTCCGGTTTCTTCAAGTGGCCCTGGGAAAGAGCCTTGCCTTTCAGGGGTGCTAATAGTCTAAAAGTTTGCTTTGATTACTATATACTGGGCTCCTGCCAAAGGAATAAATCTCATCTAAGCCACCTAGTTCTAACTATTGTAGCTCAAACTAATTCAATACAGGCAGATTGACAAAGAATTGTTTCTATTTATTTAGAATAGCCTTCCGGACCTGAGCTCTTCCAGATACTTTAACCTACTATGCATGTCATGCCTAGTAATTGGCAATGTTGTCTAGGACTGATGGGAGTTGAAGTCCCAAACATCTAGAAGGACCCAAACCAAGAAAGACTGATTCACAAATATTCAAAATGTTACATTGTCATTTATGAGCAAAAATAGTGTTTCAGTTTTGACTTGTGTACACAGAATGACTGTCAAATAGGAGAAAAAAAATCAAACTCTTTAATTCATTTTAAATTTTTCAAAAATACTTTGTACATAAGTAGGTGACCTAGCAATCTTGTATAAAGACAATATTTTGTTACAGAATTTTTGCCTAAATAAGTCCCTCTGCACAACCTGAAAAGGGGGAATGAGATGACCAGTCTTAAGATTGATTCAACTATGCATCTTTTGTCACTTGGATGAGCTGTGTTGAAGTTACAGTGTACGTGAATGACTGGAATATTTCAAGTCACCACAGACTTTCTAATAAAACTTTGAGATTTTCTCATATCCACCACCATTATTTTCCACCACCTTCCACATATTTTTCCTAAAACCCCCAAATAATTCAATTATGTATATAAAAAAATGCTCTAGTACCTCATTGCAAGGAATCTGAAATGCTGAGTAAGCACTTGCACACCTGGGATTTGTCCCACTCAAGTATTGGGACTGCACTAACCGCAGTGGTGCCCAGCCTATGGAATCTGTTCCCCAGAGAGGTCCGCATGGTGCCAACGTCATTCTTTCTGGTGTCAGGTACAGACCTTTTCATTCAATCATTATTTTAACAATTAATGCTTTTAGACATTTTAGGATTTTTTTCCCTCTTTCACAGTCGCATTTTCTATTTTCACCCTTTTATTGTGATGTGTTTTAAAAATTAATGTTTTATATGGTAGTTTGATATTTATTATATTTTTTATACTTTGTAAGCCGTCCTGAGCACTGGAAGTGTTAGGACGGGGTATAAATGTATGTAATAAATAAATAAATAAATAACCATAAAACCAAATCAGAACTAAAAGAACTACCTCACATTTTGGGGGAAACCCAAAGAACACGGAAAGCATGTCCTCTAATGTAACAATACAGCTCTCTCAATTTTGCTTTCAGCGTTTCTCACCTCACTCTCTCCATATAGATGCAACTGTAAATTAGCATTCTCTTTGCAAGGGAAGGGTTGGAGGGCAAACACCTCTTTCTTGCAATTCAGATTTTAAACCTAATATTATTTAAATGTGTATTCATACTTTGGGTATTTATAGTAGTATTTAGTGGCCATGCAATTAAATCACAGGAGGTTGAATCATGACACAGTCATGCTTAAAGCAGATCAACTAAAATCTATTGGACTTGATATGGCCATGAAATCACTGATTTCACTGTGATTTAGTCATGGCAATATTGAGTCCAATAGATTTCAGTTGATCTGCTTTAAGCATGACTAAGTCTGGATCTAACCCAGTGTGTTTTACAGAAAGGCAAAAGAATGTAGAATTGATGTAGAATTCTTTTAATTGCATTTGCAGTCCAAGAGTATCTAAAGAACCAGAACTTTATGAAATATAAATCAAGTGTTATTGCACCATAATCAGTGAAACCAAAAACAGTAGGCACAGAGCATTGCACAAGATGTATAAAAGCAGGGAAATCCAGTATCCGACATCAGTGGCTCTTACAAATTTAGAGTCCAGATTTTGGTTTTTCCATCAAAAGGAACTGCTGTTGCTGCCCTAAGAGAGGAGAATCATTCATCTGGAGGCCTCATCCAGTCATGAACATTTCTATCCAATCTGCTGAGGGTTTGACTTCCTTTGAGGGAACAACTCCTTGTTCAAGTCCTACTGGGATGTCTACTGGTATGGAAATCTTCCCAAATGAGATAACAGTGTTCGCCTGTCCAACCCCTCTCCCTAGAAGCTTCCATACTTGGGGGAGTGTATGACAAATATTCTTATTATCTCTAATCAGTGATAGAGAAAATGGAGATCACCTGTTTTTAAATTGATAGGCCACTGGATAACCGGACAGGGCTCTCAAAGTGGTAGACTACAATAAAATAAATAATTTTCAAAATAAATTTTATGTTACAGTCCAATTCTTACCAGCCTTTTAGATGAAATCTAAAGGCATTGAGTTACTGTTCTCTCTTGCTCCTTAATGGATCTTCTGAGTAAGAAAAAAGGATTAAACAGTGGGGAAACACAGGAGGGTTACCTGATAGAGACAATGATGTCTGGACTCCTCGTTAAATGCCATGAATGAGGCTGGGAAATTACATCATAAAAGTATCATTTGAATGTAATGCTTTATTTCATATATTCCTACGATTGATGCTGACCAGCTAAAGAGATTAATGATCTATTTGATGACATAAATCTATTATTATTATTATTATTATTATTATTATTATTATTATTATTATTTGAATAAATATGATACAAGCAAAAATGTAATAATGAACTGGAGCATCCTGTTCTGCCCAATCAATGGACCATTTTGTTGACATTCATCTCAGAAGGAGTAATGGATCCTGGGTTCAGTTTATTTTCTGAAAAACTGTTGCATATTGGAAAACGCAATGTTTTTTAGATAAGGTTCGTCTAAATTAGCCAACTGTTGGAAGTGTGATAATGCTTCTCTTACTCATATGTTCTGGCAATACCCAGTGCCTACTTGGGTGGAGGTAATAATATGAATGAACTTGGTGACATAAGTCTTTAATATTTACAGAACCATATCCTTAACTTTCCACTGGTCTCTCAGAACTTAATGGAAGGTCAGTGTAAATGGATCTTCTGCATTCCTTTCACAGCTAAAACATTAATCATACATCATAGGTAGGACAAATGTTCACCTGTGATAACATAAAGCCTTATGGTTAAAGACTTGATGAAGCTTTCAAGGTTTTGGGACGTAATTTATGAATGGACAATACAAGGATATCTGTGTTGCATCTGTAAGAATAGTAATATGCTTTGTTCATATATATATATATATATATATATATATATATATATATATATATGAACATATATATGAGAGTTACATGGTATATATGTATTCATTGTAATAGATTCACATGCATTTTGTGTACGGAAACTGTAACACTTTGTTTTATTCCTGTGTTTTTTGTTTTTTATTTTTGAAACTCACAGTAATTTAAAAAGGAAGGAAAAGTCTTGCCTGGCAATACGCAGGGGCCATGAGATGTCCTACACAAAGATGCTGCACCGCTCTCTGTGTCTCTTGCATCGTTTAATCCACATAGGTATTTTGCATTTCTGGTGTACTAATGTTGAAATGCTCGAGTGCTGACCCAGGCATGCCTATTTAAGGAAACTATGTTAAATTTAAGTGTGGTGTTTTGTTTTGTTATTTTAAGGAATTAAAAGAAAACACAATTAAAACCATACTACTTAGAGCAGTATAGGCAATGCAGTGCCCACAGGCTTCTTCCTTAGTGCGCAACAAACTTAATTTCAAAATATTGTTTCAAAATGTCTTCCCAGCAGCGAAGAGCATTCAAAACCAAGTGAGGGCCTTCAGCCGCAGTCATCGTGATTTAGCACGAGTGCCTCTGGACTCAGTGACATTCCTGGGAAATCGGGTTGTGAACAACCGCAAGCTAACACTTTCCTTTGCCGCACCAGCCACCGAGAAAGGGAAGGGGTGGGGAGGGGAAAAGGAACTGCCGTTGATGCGATCTAGATGCGGGGGACTAAAGAGACCTCAGGGGAGCTAAGAAGGAGTGTGGTGGGTTGTGGGAACATGCGGCATGGTCAAAGGAGTCAGCTGAAAGCAACAAGGGGGACAGAAGGCAGACAGCCAGGCAGCAGGGGGAGATAACTTGAGCAGCCAGATCAGCTGGGGTTGATTGTATATTTGTATGTCTGAATGCATTGGATGGAGAAGCCATTGCTGGCATCCTGGTTCTCTTTTACACATGCTTCCTTCAAAAGGAAGCTTTCTATCAGAGGGATACAAAGGAAGAAAAATCACGCTGGAATGGGTTACCGATGTACTTGCAGAAAGTAATGAACTGTATTGCTAATCCTCTAAAACATGGGTTGGTAAAACAAAAGAAAATAAAAAGTAACTTCTTTGCTCATGACTGCTTCCGTTAGAGTTACTAGCTTTGGTGTATTGTGGCACACAGCCTTAGCCCTAACCCAAACACTAAAAGTTTATTGGGTGAAACCAGGTAATTTTCCAGTCCACAGCAGGAAATGAAACTCAAAAATTGATCTGTCTACCTGTTTAATCTCTAATCTGCTTTTACTAAGTGTGCACAGCCTCGGTTTTCTGTACAAACATATCAGGATGCATGACATAACTCTGCCTTTTCACAGAGCATGGAAGATTGCCTTCCGTTAGACCTAAGTAGACCCATTGAAATGAATGGGACTCAAGTTAGAGCAACACTGGACACAGCCAGGCTTTGTGTATGATGTCCCATATAATCCCAGACCCAATTTTAACCCCTTCTTTCTCTAGATTGTAGTTACCATCCAAAGATCTGAAGCAAAAGAGTTTGCTCTTCTCTCCTACCTCATAACACATTTGCCTCTTATTTTGCCTCCAAATCATAATTTCCCTGTTCCTTCTATGATTTCCTGTTTCTCTTGCCCCTCTGTTTTTATGTAGGTGTCACTTTGCATCTTCTCTGGCTCCTCCCCTTTTTCTCTCTGCTCTCTCGCCTACTGGATGCATGCACTCTTGCATTGCATCTGCAACTTCACTGCTGTAAATGCATGCAAAGCAATAAAATACAAATTAAGATGGTAGCTTAGTGTAAATGGGATGACCCCATGCTGTATCTTGCTCCGTTGATTTCTCATGCTGCCTAACTGGAATATCTTCCATAAGATTTTGTCAGGTCTTAGCAAATATTTAAACTATTATCTGTTGCTTCACTGAGATTTCAGCTTGATGTAAAAATGGAAGCTCTACACACTATTTTTCTTTTGCATTAGGATTTTGTCCAACTTCCAATTCCCAATTTAGATTACATGCTCAGAAAGTAACTCCAAACGTTTGCTGTGTTTGAAGGTCACGGTGTTATTGATTGATTTCCAGTTATAATGCATGTTATCCTAACATGAGGAGCGGGTGAGGGTTTGCATAGTTGTTTTTCTCCTTCTTTTCCTAAATCTGGATGAATTCCAAAAATGTGAGGATCAAAGCATCTGGACTTGTTGCTTTTATGTTTGGCACATAAAGAGGCTGGCAGTCCCCAATGTGGTCTTGGCTGGGTTCAAGTTGTTTTCCTTCTCTGATGTGAAACAGTTGGGACTCACAGACCCTCCAACACATAAAGTGGACTAAATAAAAACTGGCTTTTAAACTTGCCAAGTGCATGGAAGTGCCAGTCCCCACAGTTTTTCAAAAGATATTAGCTATGGCATGCTCACCCTGCCCCCCCCCCTTTCTTTCTTGTTTTTAAGGAAAGTTTGTTCTTTAAAACATGTTCTCATTTGCTTGAGAAGTAGGTTCATTCATTTCATGACTCTCAACTTGCAGTTTTTGATCTGACTTCACTGTCTTGATCATTGAATATTGTGATGCTCTGATGCGGAGGATGCTGTCAACATAGTCAAAACTGGCTCCATGCCATTACAAAATAAAGTTTTGCTAGGACTTTTTCTCATGTGGAGAGGTCTTGAGAAGTTGGTGGTGAAATAGGAAGAGTAACATGCAGTCCGCTCAGAATTTGCTGTCACTTTCTTTGCATAGCATGTCCGTAGCAGCCAGTGACATATGGCCAGTGAAGAAAGAACGTCTGACGTAAACAGCTTCCTGGTAGTGATTTGTGTGAGCATGAGAGCCAAAAAATTTGAAGTACACTTATGGTGAGAAGTGGGATGTATTGTATCAGGTGTTACTTTCATCCATGTATCCACACACACTTTAACAAATGTGGTACATGATGAACTAAGCCATTGTGTGGATACTGTTAGTCTCAGATCCTGGCATCATCATTATGACATTGAACTACTCTGCAACCCTTCCTTCCTTCCTTCCTTATCTTTTTATTTCCATTAGAAAGGCTGGGCTGTTGTGAATGAAGTGGAAGTGAACACATTGACTCTTGCTACCCACCATGAATGGAAGGATTAAACAACCCAGGGAATGAGCTTAATGTCATTAAGTGAGTCATGCAAACTGGACATTCTGGATGGTTGGAGGAGAAACAGATCAGAGTTTGGAACCCATGTGTGAACTAAAGTTTCCAGTTCTAGAGTACCCCCCATTCAATGACCCAGAACTTCCAGTTCACATTTCACTCTTAACAATCCCCAGGGACACAGTACTTCTAAATTGTTTAGCCCCAATAGAAAGAAAATGGATGGTAGGAACCAGCACACCTGCTTAATCACTCCCACTTCTTTCACAACAATTTCATTTTCATTTCATTTCATGTCATTTATTACAGATCTATTCTGCCCAGTAGGCAAAGATCCCTGGATAGTTTGGAAAGGCGTAAAACCTTAAAATATAATATTGTGCTTAATATAAAAACAAGTTGGCCACAAACATATTAACAGGCAACAGACACACATAGCCAAGCAATATTCCATGACCAGGTGAAAAAACACATCATAAGCTGCCAAATGCATGAGAGTAGAGAACGATTGCAACTTGGTACCAAAAATTAACAATGTTGGTGTCAAGTGGGCTTTGCTGGGGAGTTCATTCCAAATTGGAGGGGCTGCCAGTAAGAAGACCCTGTCTCTTGTTCCTACCCTGTGAGCCACCCTCAGAGGAGGTACCTGGAGGAGGGCCTTAAGAATATAAGAACATAAAAAAAGCTATGCTGGATCAGACCAAAGGAATATCTAATCCAATTCTCTGAACATTCAGAGGCAAACCAGCTGCCCACAGGATCCCTCAAGCAGGATGGGTGCAAGCGCTCTGCCTGCCCAAGCTCCTCAGCAGCCGGTGTGTGCAGGCAGGCCACCTCTGCTCAAGGAGGTAGCACATAACTAGCAAGGCTTGTAGTAGCCACTGAGAGCCTCCTCCTCCATGATTCTGTCCGATCCTCTTTTGAAGCCAGTTGCTGAGAAGCTGGAGGAGGAGGCAGTTATTCTTGCCCTTATCCTGTTGGAGGGATCCTGTGGGCAGCTGGGCCAGATGGACCTTTGGTCTGATCTAGCATGGCTTCTCTTACGTTCCTGTGCTCTAATGGCTTCATTCCCTCTGTGTCATTTTCTGAAGGACTGCCTGTTGACTGCGCCTTCCACAAGTCAGATGTGAGTAGCAGGAGCATCTGCCAATGCATTTTTGATGTATATTCCCTGGCCCTGGAATCTTTGGGGGAAAAGATCTGGCCATGTACTAATCAGAGAGTCTTTGGAAGACCTTTATATTTGGCCAGGTGGTTAGCAGTTAGGAATAAGTGTGTGGTTATATTTAGCTGCATATTTATAGTTCTTTTTAATATATTAAAATGCTATGAACTTGCGGGATAGGTGGCTCTATACATTTTAGTACACACATAATGTGTCTGGAGACCATTAGTGCTGCTTGTCTGGAAACCTATCAATTAGTGTTGCCTGTCCCTTTATTCATGTCGTTTTCTTTTCATATTATCACTAGAAAAACATTGCACAAATACATTCTTTCCACATAAAATAAGTTAATAAAATAACATGGCCCAGTACTTACACTAAGTCACAGTACCAAGGCATTGTTTTAAACCAAAAGAAAGCAAGTTTTGATTATATATGAGTAAATGAGCATATGTGCCATTACATTCTGGGTGCAATGTTTAGTAGTTAGATTTTGGCACTTTATTTTATGAGCTAGATTTCACATATGGTTTGCATGTTTCCCAGCTGACATTGAGGGTGCAACAGTGGAAGGAGGCAATGACTAACCCCACCTGAACTCCTTCGGCACAAAAATATTTTTTGATCTGATGGAATTCCTTTCAGATAGTAGCCCATATTGGTAAATGAATTATTGTTGCGTAATACCATAATATGCCACGAAAAGAGTATTTAAATTATGCTTGCATTAAACATCCTAGGTACATGTAGCAACAGTATGCTGAATTATCCCTTTTAACAATTGTGGCTAATTTGGCAAGATTAATTTTAGTAACAACCACACACGCCAAGCCTAACCTGTGTTAGAGGATTTGAGTTCAAATTTGTCTCTGCCATGGAATTTACAAGCCAGGCTGAAAGTACAGAAATAGCTTGTGACAAACCCCTTTGAACTTCACCACTTCAGAAGGTGGGATGGCTCTTCGTGAGGTTTGTAGGAGCCACTCATAACACAGAAATATCACATCTTCATAAAATGTTATATTGTACTCACAGTATGGGAGCTTGCGCCTAATTGTGTGTGTTTACGCTTGCACATGTGTGCATTAGAAGAAGCAAAGAAGCAGTGTATCCCTGTCTGTCAGCGCTTGAAAAATCCATTACGAAGTTCAAATAGGAAAACAGGTTATGGAAACATCAGCTTAAGACAAACGTTTCCAGTCACTGGGACTCCATTCATTATATGCCTGAGTGGTTCCAGGAACAACAGCAGGGAGAATTATAATGCCAAGTACAAGAAAGGCAGTGCGGATGCTCTCCTGAATCTCTCATGACTCTCTTGGATTTTTCATACTTCCCCTGCCTTGACCTGTTGCTGTGTTCTCCCTCTGGAGCTTGGTGCTGAGGGCTTGACTTTGATCAAACGGCTGCCACTTTTAGTAGGTACAGTGTGGGAGGAAGTCAATTTAGCACCCTTGCAGTAAATAAATACAGCCTGGCTTTATTAACATGCTGTGTCACTTTCAAAAGAAACCTTGCTGCTTTGGCTGACACAGGTTCTGCTTGCATACTAAACCCCCATCCCTGCCCAGTGGTCACTTGGTGGGGGCTCCCACACCCATGCCAGAAGCATACAAAGTGGGCCTTGAATGTCCAGGAAAAATAATCACAAATGAGCAATAACAAAGATAGAATGCCTAGCCCATTTTTACAAGACATATTTAAATGGAATAAAATCCTTGTATTTGCAGATACTAGAGTGAATATATAATTATTTATGTAGCCATCCCTGGTGGTCTAGCGGTTAGGATTTTATCCTTCCACTGCTGTGGTTCAGGTTCAGTTCTGGCCAGGGATGTTTTGTGGGCTCTAGCTCAGTTGTAGATCTGTTTTCTTGCAGGAAGTCTCATATCCACTTGGCCAGTGTGTCTACCTAGAAAGGACTAGGTACTAGGTGATGGAACTAAACCCTGCCTAGTATCCTGGAGAGCCGCTGCCAGTCAGAGTACACAGTACTGGACTACATGCACAAGATATCTGACTTGACACAGGTTGGTTTTGCACACAGTATCAGCCCACAGTATCAGTTGTTGAATTCTGGGTTGCCAAGATGTGCAGACCCAGTCTCGACAGCTAACTATGGTTTGCTAACCATAAACAACACAGAAAGAGAAGCCATGGCTTTGGCTTATCAACTCTGGGCTATTTAAACCATAGATTATTGTTATGTGTGAGCCCAGAACCATGGGTGCATAGGTTGATGTGCCAGGCTTCTCAGTAGGGATGTCAGAGAAATCTGCAGCAGACTCAAATGCATTTGAATTTCTGAAAGTCTGACCCACAGACCCGCTTTTCTTGAGTTGTGCAGATTCTGCATGCTTGTATACCTTTTTA